TAAGCATTTACACACCTGAGCTGAAGGAAACCTGAAGCTACATAATCACCAACTACCTAGGTACGTTACTTACTTCTACAAACTGTTCCAGAAAACTCAGGATACACAGATGCTATGGAACCCCACTGGCCTAGAACTCTCTATGCAGACCTGGTTGGCCTCTAACTCACAGATTTGCCTGCCTCTGCCTCCCAAGTGCTGGGATTAAAGGTGTGTGCCACTGCACCTGGCTCTAATATTTTACTTTAATAAAATGAACAAAATTACAACTTTAAAAATCTGTAGCAATAGGCCAGGCATGGTGGCACACACCTTTAATCCCAGCATTCCAGGAGGCAGAGGCAAGTGGATCTCTGTGAGTCCAAGGCCAGCCTGGTCTACAGAACGAGTTCTAGGACAGATGGAGCTATTACAGAGAATTCCTGTCTCAAAACAAACAGACAAACAAACTGTAGCAAAATATAAATTTAGGAAGACTTACCTAGCAGGGGGAATATCTCTCTTACACAGATCAAACCTCAGTTTCTCTCCTACATGTCTATAAATCTCCACTACAGCCGATATTGCAGCATTTCTCACCTGTCAAAGAATTTAAAAAAAAACATAGATGTGACACATACTTCCTTTCAAGGTAACAATAAACTAGCAGGCCAACCTGACACTCTAAGTTGACTTTACTGTCTTTTCAGTTCCTGAGGAAATTATAATATGACATGTTATTAATGGAAACCCCAAACCACAGTTTGTGAAAAAAAGCCCTAGAAAACCCATTTTAAAGGGAGCAAGACCTTAGTGCTGGAGCACCTGCCCAGCACATGTGAGACCTTCAGGTTCAATTCCTACTACCATCAAAAAAAGGAAAGAAAGAAAGAAAGAAAGAAGGTAGGAGGTGGTTAATAGAAATCTGTGAATAAAAGCTACCAATTGGGATTTCAAAAAGTATAATTTCATTAACCTAAAGTAGAGTTAATTAATTTTCCTGGAATAAAACTGTCTTTCAAAAATGTGTACTGAACTCAAAAAGGTATTTTTACATCAGCATTTCTAAAATTATTCAGAATAGCCAAAAGGTTAAAGAAAATTTCTATTCCCATATGTCTATATACATAAAATGTGATGTCTGTGTTACTGGAAGATTATTCAACCTTAGAAAGAAGAGGGAAATTCTGACACATTTTGCAACATGGATAACTTGTGGACATTATACTAAATGGGATAGATCAAATGGACAACTATTATCTGATTTGCTTCCACTAGGTACCTGGAGTAGTCAAATTATGATGAAGAATGGTAGTTGCCAGCAGCTGGGGGAGAGGAATGGGAAGTTGTCTCATGGGTACAGAGTCTGAGTTCTGAGGAGGTAAAAGTTTTACAGGTAGATGATGATACAGTTGCAAAACAATGTGAACGTATTCCATACCACTGAAGTGTACACTTAAAAACAGTTGCAATGGTAAATTTTATATTCTATATAGGAGGTGAAAAAAGAATGAGGCCTAAGAGAACAACCTGAAAAACAACATTTATTCTTTTGCACAACTCACTATCAAAGAACAACTGAAAGCCAGGTGTGGTGGCACACACCTATAGTCTTAGCTTCCTGGGAGATTAAGGTGGGAAAAAAAATCAATCGAGCTCAAGAGATTGAGGCCAGGCTGGGCAAGAAAAGGAGACCCTTTGTCTATAAATAAAATAGCAACTGAAGAGAGTAAAACTCTACAAACCTGTTGAGGGGCAACTAGAACTTGTAAGAAGGAAAAATCTTACCCAGTGTCACTCCAAATGCCCTAGCTAGTTCATAGGTAAGGTTAGAGTTAGAACCACTACGGCACAGACAGCTCAGGGAGAGACGCGCCATGGACACAAAGGCCTTCCCTATAAACAGGGCTATCAACAACTGCAACAGTCTGGTATAAATGAACTCAAGAATGTAGGCCAGTGACATTCTACCTTACAGTTAACATTAAGCTGGAGTACAGAAAGGAACCCAGGATTCTCTTAATCTGTCAAACTCAAGAACTAACCATTAAGTTCTTTCTATCTTTAATATCAGTTCAAGAACTGACAATAAACTTATCTTTGTTTCAAAATAAATAAGTAAATGAACAAACTCTGGTAGAAGGAGGAGGAAAAAGAGGAAGAAAAAGGGAGAAGAGGCCTATAGCCCTAGCTACTTGGGAGGGTGGAGCAGGAAAGCCACATGTGAGCCCAGTGGCTTCTGAGCAACACAGCCAGACCCTCATTTAATTAAAAACAAAAGGCAGCAATTGTTTTTAGTATCCACCTTGTCTGTCTTTATTGTTATGGCTTAAATAAGGTAAGAGCACAGAAAGGGCAAACCACCACACACACACACACACACACACACACACACACACACACACACACACACACAAAGTCAATGCTTGAAAG